ACCCATTTTTTTACTTTTTTTTTTTAATATGAATTGTTTCAAATTTATGTATGGAAAACATACCACAAGTTTATCTTATGTTATTTTATACTTAATAAAATTGATTTAACTGTATTTGTATATCCTATATTATATTATATTTAATTACAATTTTTTAATTAAATATTTACAATTCATAAATTCATTAATAATATTGTCGAGTCAACTTTTGTTCATAAAATTTTTAAAAATATATTATTTTCATTGATTTGCTTATGGTGAATTGAGAAAAGTTACGTTTTTAATTATATATAGGGAGGATATAAGATTTCTTATATTTTGTATGTAGTATTTATTGAGTAATTGTGTTTGCAATTTTTCTATTAAAAATATATGTTGTTATACGATTTTGTAACAACAAAAATGTACACCCCCCTTTTGCGAATAAGGGGTATAAGGTTTATATGAATTTGTAGAGATTTGTGGGAGATGAAGATCTATCCCTTTTTCTTTGTTTGTTGGTGTTTGCTGTATCATATTGTGATCAAGAATTCAAAGGAATTGAACATAGAGAGTCCAGAAAAATCAAGAAGATATAATCTGTATATTATTTGTTTGTATTATTGAATGATAGAGAAATCTGGGGAAAATTTTTTTGAGGCGGTGCCTCCTTTTAGCATAGATAAGGGAGAAAAAATATCGTCCTCTAGAGACTTATCTCCTTGGCCCCTATTTATATTTGGGTTAATATGGGCCCGTATATCTAACGGGCTTTTATGATAAGACATGGCCGCGCAGGGCCCAATAATAAATATGACCACGCAAGGTCCAATAATTAAATAATATCCGACTGATATTTGACTTGTCAGCAATTGACGTGTCTGTATAAATGGCTTCTTTGTGATATCTGGGTCGAGTTGACGGTTTTTGAATACGGACCTCGTCTTCTGGGAACTTGATCAATATTAAACAGATAAAAGAACCTGCTATTTTATATTTATTTAATATATATATCCACGTATAATATTTTAATAGGCGAGGCCAAAATTAGGTAACAACAATATATTAAACACGTGAAATTTTTAGTTTCTATATATTTTTTTTTTCAGAAATCACTCATTATTTTATCCCAAGAGTACCTATTAATTTACCAATTGAGTTACATTTCTTACATATTAAATATTATATAATTAAAATATTTTTTGTTTTATCTGTTCAATATGATACATATATATTATATTAAAAAAACTAATATAGTAAATAAAAAAGTTATTTAAAATTAGAATAATAAAGATTTTTTTTTTCTAATCTACATGTATAAATGTGCAAATAACTATTGTCTATCACCTCAAATTTACACATAAAATTAATAGAACAAACAACTAACAAGCGTTTAACAACTCAGTTCGATTACATCGATAAGTATATTTTTAGAAGGTTTATATTTAATTATATTTATTATATTGTTTTTGTTTATTAGTTTGTTTTATATTTATTAGTACGTATCACAACTTAGCTATTATTTATATTATTTCTTATATTTAATATTTTTTTACACCTTTATCTTGATATGTCACATGTTCTTAACTGTAGATTTGTCAAAAAGACATAATATAAAGTATAGAATTTTTTCGATCATCTGCCTCATTATATATCAAATATTTGTATATCCTATATTATATTATATTTAATTACAATTTTTAATTAATATTTTAATTAAATATTTACAATTCATAAATTCATTAATAATATTGTCGAGTCAACTTTTGTTCATAAAATTTTTAAAAATATATTATTTTCATTGATTTGCTTACGGTTGAATTGAAAAAAGTTATGTTTTTTAATTACATATAGGGCGGATATAAGATTTCTTATATTTTTTATGTAGTATTTATTGAGTAATTGTGTTTACAATTTTTCTATTAAAAATATATTAAACACGTGAACTTTGTAGTTCCTATAATTTTTTTTTCATAAATCACTCATTTTTATCCCAATATTACCTATTAATTTACCAATTGAGTTACAATTCTTACATATTAAATATTATATAATTAAAATATTTCTTGTTTTATCTGTTCAATATGATACTTATATATTATATTAATAAAAACTAATATAGTAAAGTTATTTAAAATTAGAATAATAAAGATTTTTTTTTACTAATCTACATGTATAAATGTACGAATAACTATTGTCTATCACCTCAAGTTTACACATAAAATTAATAAGAACAAATAACTAACAAGCGTTTAACAACTCAGTTCGATTACATCGATAAGTATATTTTTAGAAGGTTTATATTTAGATATATTAATTATATTATTTTTGTTTATTAGTTTGTTTTATATTTATTAGTACGTGTAACAACTTCGTTATTATTCATATTATTTCTTATATTTAATTTTTTTTAAAACTTTATCTTGTTCTTTCACATGTTCTTAATTGTAGATTTGTCAAAAAAGACATAATATAAAGTATAGAATTTTTTCGATCATCTACCTCATTATATATCTAATATTTGTATATTCTATATTATATTAAATTTAATTACAATTTTTAATTAATATTTTAATTAAATATTTACAATTCATAAATTCATTAATAATATTGTCGAGTCAACTTTTGTTCATAAAGTTTTTAAAAATATATTATTTTCATTGATTTGCTTACGTTGAATTGAAAAAAGTTATGTTTTTTAATTACATATAGGGCGGATATAAGATTTCTTATATTTTTTATGTAGTATTTATTGAGTAATTGTGTTTACAATTTTTCTATTGAAAATATATT